AGCTCTGTGCAGTCAGAGAGGCTGCATGGCCTGCGCCCAGGGGACCCCGAGCCCTCCCATGGCCACACGTGGCCGGACTTGCCGGAGCCCACACCAGGTGTCTGTGTCACATCCCCCCGCCCCGCCCCGCCCCACCCCGGGCTCCTGACTGCCCTCTAGGACACAGCCTCATCGCAGGCTGCCTCGTCTGTGTGTCAAAGACAGGAAGCAAATCCGGCTCCACCTCACCTGCTGGCTGCCCCTGCACACAACCTAGGCCCTAGGACAGTGATGGCGAACCTGTGGCACGCACGTCAGAGGGGACACGCGAACTCATTTTTTTGGTTGATTTTTCTTTGTTAAATGGCATTTAAATATAGAAAATAAATATCAAAAATATACATCTTTGTTTTACTATGGTTACAAATATCAAAAAATTTCTATATGTGACACGGCACCAGAGTTAAGTTAGGGTTTTTCAAAACGCTGACACGCCGAGCGCAGAAGGTTCACCATCACTGGCCTAGGAGGACAGAGCATGGGCAGTTCAGAGGCTCGTGGGAACCTTAGAAGCGGCCAGAGCAGGACAATGTGGACCGCAGTGCAGCTCAGGGCTCTAAACTGAGGGGAGAAAGGGCACCTCGGAGCCTGTCCACGGCTGCCCGTGACTCAGACCCCGCAGCACCACCACCTCGGGAAGGGCCTCTGCTGCCCGGTCCACGCCCCTCCTGGGCCCTGTGCGCTCACAGGTGCCATGCCCAGAGCTCCTCTTCCCCCTGTGTATGGCCTCCCTCCAGTGGGAGTTGTCCTCGCCTCCCCTCCCCAGGACGAGCTCCCAGGAGTACTCAGTGCCTTTCTTTCTGCCACATTTGACCTTAATCACATGATTAGGTTGGGAAAGCCAGGCTCCGGGGGGCTGCTGGAGCCAAGCATCAAAAATACTGCCTGGGACCGGGGCCTGGGATCTGGGGCCTGGGACCCGGGACTCGGAGCCTGGGATGTGGGACCTGGGGCCTGGGATGTGGGATCTGGAACCTGGGGCCTGGGATCTGGGGCCTGGGATCTGGGGCTTGGGATCTGGGATCTGGGATCTGGGGCCTGGGATGTGGGGCCTGGGATCTGGGGCCTGGGATGTGGGGCCTGGGATGTGGGGCCTGGGATCTGGGGCCTGGGACCTGGGGCCTGGGAGCTGGGGCCTGGGATCTGGGATCTGGGATCTGGGGCCTGGGATGTGGGATCTGGGACCTGGAGCCTGGGATCTGGGATGTGGGGCCTGGGATGTGGGACCCAAGATCTGGGGCCTGGACGGTTCCTCAGCGCAGGGCTGGACACACTCAGGGCCCAATGGCTTCTGGGCCAGTGTCCCGCCTGCCTGGCAGGTCTGTGCTCTGAGCAGATGGCAGCACCTCCTGCTGGTCTTCAGCGCAGTGAGGAACCCTCTTTTTAAATGTTTTCTCTCAGGAAGTTTCTAAAAACCTCACCAAGGAAAACGAGCAAATCAAAGAGGACGTGGAAGGAATTCGTGCCGAGATGAGCCAGCGCGGCAACCTGGGAGCTGGGATGTGGGATCTGGGATGTGGGGCCTGGGACCTGGGGCCTGGGATTTGGGATCTGGGATCTGGGATCTGGGATCTGGGGCCTGGGATGTGGGATCTGGGACCTGGAGCCTGGGATCTGGGATGTGGGGCCTGGGATGTGGGACCCAAGATCTGGGGCCTGGACGGTTCCTCAGCGCAGGGCTGGACACACTCAGGGCCCAATGGCTTCTGGGCCAGTGTCCCGCCTGCCTGGCAGGTCTGTGCTCTGAGCAGATGGCAGCACCTCCTGCTGGTCTTCAGCGCAGTGAGGAACCCTCTTTTTAAATGTTTTCTCTCAGGAAGTTTCTAAAAACCTCACCAAGGAAAACGAGCAAATCAAAGAGGACGTGGAAGGAATTCGTGCCGAGATGAGCCAGCGCGGCAAGAACTGCTCCCGGGACGCGGCAGCTGGGCTCCCGGAGGCGGAGGCAGGCTCTGCCCTCCAGAGGGACGCGGCCGCCGCCTACGCCCACCCCGAGGTACCGTCCCTCCCCCAGCATGAGCGCCTGGCAGGGGCACCGAGCTCATCCCATCCTGTCGCACACCGGGTCCCTGTCCCTCGGCACCTCTGAGGCCCAGAGAGGGCCGCGGGTCAGTGGTGAGGGCAGGACTCCGCTGGCACGCGGGGGGGGCCGGTGAGGAGCCAGAGCCAGGAGAGCTCGCAGTCGCCCTGGCTCAGCGGGAAGTGGTGGTGGGGGTCGCAGCACACCGTCACCCGTGTAACGGACACTGTCTGACGCGACTTGATCGACATCCAACGCCCCACTTGTTTCAAGTTCCTCCCATTTGCGACCCGTTTGCTCCAGCTTCAGTTCCTACGCTGCATTCATGTGCTGGGGTGACATGTGATACCATTTAATGTGTCGGGTTGTCCCCTAAATGGATGACCAAGAAACAGCATGAACTAGGAAGCTCACCTGAGTGAGTGGAGGACCAGCGGGTAACGGGTGCAGACGCCAGGCCCAGGGCAGCGGTGGGGAGGCGCTGGCCCCTGGCGGGCGGCCGTGACAGCGCCTCACGTGCTTCCTGGGGCCACGCCAGGTGGACGGCAGAGGGGTTCCAGGTGCACCACGCAGGGGCCTCCCCCAGGCAGCCAGGCGGGGCGTGGGCGGGGCAGGGCCGAGGCTGCGGTCACCTGGGAGGGCCGGGCGGCGCTGTCCATAGGACGCTGCTGCCTGGGTCGCTCATCCCCCTGGCCTGGGACTCGTAGGCAGAGCAGCTCCTTCAGGGGTGCCGGGTGGGCAGCGCCGCGGTTTGGGGAACCGGGCACATGTGCTCCGAGGGCAGGACAGCAGTCAGCTCAGCCCTGTGGACAGTATGGCGCCTGCACCCTGCCCAGTGCGTGACTCAGAACAAACCCGTTCCAAACCAGAGAACAGGGATGAGGAAGGCCTCTCGTTTCCTGGCTTTGCCCGTGACGACTGCTTGATGCTTTGGGGAAGTATCACATTCCTTCAGCCATCACACACACCCCATGTCGGGCCGACGTGCTGCCGGGCAGTGCCTGCTCTGCCTGCGGGGCCGCTGGAGCAGGTCTGAGCTCGGAACCCCAGGGGAGGACGTGTGGGCTGGAAGAGAACCTGGGGGCACCTCCGTGGCCCTGGGCTCCCCCGCCCGCCGCTGCCCAGTGTGGGCTGCTGCCGCCCCTGGCCCTGCCCCGGCGGCCAGGCTGAGCTCGCCGTGGTCTCGATGACGCATCGTGTGGTGTGAACCAGCTCAGGTTTCCTGAGGGCAAACAGCAAACCAGCCAGACTCCCAAATTCCCTCCTTGCTCAGCAGAGGCCTGTCCCCCCAAGGCCCAGTCATCACACTGTGGTCAGCACAGTCCACCCAACCCGCTGTGGGGACAGGGCCAGGACCAGCGAGGGAGGGCCCAGCTGGGCTCGTCCTCTCTCACCCGCCCCTCAATGAGCCCGGCTGAGGGGACTGTTGTAGACGATTCTCGGCTTCTCAGAATGGGGGGGTGGGGGGGACGGCAGTTGGAAGGCCTCTCACCAAGAAGGTCCTGGCCTGGAGGAGGTGAGGGCTCTGGGCGCGGGCGGGAGAGGGGACAGCCAGACGCCAGGAACTGAAATCACACGCAGAGTCTTGGATAACGGATGAGAGAACCACGGCGGCCCGAGGCCTGTGCCAGGAATGCAGGGGTGACGCTTTCTGGCCGGGCCAGTGCGAGGTTGTGCTCTTCCCCGCGGCTCCCAGAGGGCGCCGCGCCCTGCCCGTCCCTCAGAGCCCGGAACTAAAGCCGCTCCTGAGGCTTGCCCCGGGGGACGGGGGCTTTTGAGATGCAGAGGGCACCTGGGCCCAGCACAACGCAGGGGCCACCTGGGCTCAGCACAACGCAGGGGGCACCTGGGCTCAGCACAACGCAGGGGGCACCTGGGCCCAGCGATACAGGGGGCACCTGGGCCCAGCGATACAGGGGGCACCTGGGCCCAGTGATACAGGGGGCACCTGGGCCCAACACAACGCAGGGGGCACCTGGGCCCAGCGATACAGGGGGCACCTGGGCTCAGCGATACAGGGGGCACCTGAGCCCAGCGATACAGGGGGCAGCTCGCAGCGTCTGAGTCAGGGGTGGGGCAGCACTGGAGTCAGGCAGCTCTGTCCAGCGGAAACAAGGGGTCCCCAGGCCTGCGGGCACCGGGGACGCGGACGAGGTTCTGGAGTCCCGGGGTCACGCTGTGGGCCTGTGGGTCCGCAGGGAGAGCCTGGCTCTGGGGCAGCCGCCTGACCTGCGGAGGCTGTGGACTCAGGAGCCCCGCAGCCTCTGACTGGCTGGCATTGGACCAGACGGCTGCTTGGCCCGGCGCCCCCTGAAGTGAGCACAGTGCCGGCCTGCAGAGCGGTGGTGAGACAGACACAGGCATGTCTGACCTCACGAGGTGCTCACGAAAACGTAGCTCTGGCACCTCTGGTCCTGACTCCCAGGTCACCTCGACAGCCAGAGACAGGAGGCAGGGGCGGCAGGGTGAGCGCCTCTCAGGCCCCAGCCGGGACCCGTGCCTTCCAGGACTCGGTCTCTTCATGCCGGCAGCCAGGGCGGTGTCTGTGGCTGGGAGGGCCCAGCCTCCTCCAGGCCAGACCTTAGTCAGCAGAGAGGCCTCCTGGGCAGCGAGGCGGTGGCCGCCAGCAGCTCAGTGGCTCTGAGGCCGCTCTGCCCCTCGGGCTCAGGCATCTGGGTAGAGGCTTGTTTCCAAGTGGCTCTGCTCTCCCCCTGCCACCGCCTGACGGGCCCGGGGGACGGGCCGTGCCTCCTCTTCGGAGGGGCCTTTTGGGGCTTCAGTGGCTGAGAGCAGGGCTGGGCCACACCCCGAGGTCCGCACCACCTCCTGGATGGGCCACTGCCCTCAGGAGCGGGAGCCCTGGGGCCCTGATTTTGAGCGCACTGGCCCCGGCCCTGCTCAGGAGCCTGTGTGCCTGTCTCCTGATCCGTGAGTGGGCTGATGGCCCAGTCCCTGCCTCGGAGGAGCCACGAGGGGAGTGAGCTGGTCACGGTGTAGCGACAGGAGCCCTGGCTCTGAGACGAAGGCTGAGTCTGTCCTTGCTGTTGCCTGGGCTCCAGTGCTGCCCCACCTGACCTGCCGCTGTGTCCCCTGATCCTGACCGGTGGCCTGGCCGCTGTGTCCCCTGTGCCTGACTGGTGGCCTGGCCTCCCTGTGCCCCCT